TGTGAAAGCCCCTCCTCAATATGTTTGATCCCTTTCCAAGCCTTCCTCTTCGTCAATGATTATGGGCCACTCCTGTCTTTTAGTTCGACAGACTACTCTAAGGCCAACATGCAGCTGAGTCATAGCTAATCTAGTATAATTAACTTCTGGTGCAGCATTATCACTTCTAAATTTCTAACTTCTGAACTTCATCTCAAGGTAGAAAATAAAAGAATAATTTCACAGACCTTCCGATCGGCTTTTATAACGCTAACGGTAGTGGTGATCGACGTACGGTGATTCTTGTGAGGTGATGGCTGATGGTAATTATGGTTGACCGAAGTGACTGACGGTATATGATGGTGCACAAAAGTGGTTGACAAAGGTGATATTAGTATATTGGTTCCTGTTGGTGGGGTGGCTCGCTTCGAAGGTGGTTAGTGATGGTATATATAGTTGTCAGTGGTGATTGATGGTGGTGGTGATTGGTGGAGTTGGTTGTGATTGTGGTTTATAGTGATGATTGTATAGTGGAGACTGACGATAGAGGTGCTAGCTAGGTGGCGTGGCTAGCGGTAGATTTGGTTGGTGACGGTGGTTGCTAGAGATAGAGGTGGTTGGTGTTGGTGGCTATAGAGTGGAGGCTGGTGATGATCAATGTGCAGTGATAATGAATAAAGTAACGGTAAAATGTCACCTTCACATGAATCTTTAAGTGAAGGACCTTGATGATATAGGTAGTTATTCTTTATTTATGGTGGTGAGAGGTACACATAAGTATCCGACAATAAAATAGTAGAGGTGCATGGTCAAACACCATCACTATTAAAAAAAAAAAAAAAAAAAAAAAAAAAAAAAAAAAGAAGAAGAAGAAGATAATTTTAAAAGTCTATATAAGACCAAAATAAATATAAGTGATCGACAAAAAATTAAAACAGAAAACAAATACACTTAATGGATATAAATCTGGGTAATTCAAGTTTAGACTTTCATTAAATAGAAACAAACAATAGTAATAAATTTTTTACATATTTACCATAACATTAGTTCTTTTTCAAATCAAATGATCTATTTAAGCTGGTACTAGCGAGCAATATTCAAAATCTGAAGGGTAAAAAAAATAAAAAACAGATGTTTAGTACCTCATCTTTAAAGCGTATTCCGGCTGATTTGGCGTCCGAAGCTCTTAGTAAAAGGAATAGCTTTTTCACGTTTGGTTGAATTCGGAGTATCTTCTCCACTAGAACTGCATTACAAAATAAAGGACGTATAGTTTTTTTTAATTGACATATCCATGGCAACAGGTACAGTAATTTGGAATAGACGTAATAACCTAATTAAATTACATTGATGATGTAAAAGCATTCGAATTATATATCAGTACGTATAGAGAGAAAGAGAGCAGGGGGGAAAGGGAGAGAGTATCCGCACTCTTTGCAAGGAAACCAGTGACACCCGTAGTGAAAATAGTTTTGCCTTCTAGAAATTGTTCAATTTTAGATGATTCCATAGGGTAAGAATTGGGAAGCTATAAATTTAGTTGTAAAATAAGAGATACTAATCTCACAAAATAAAAGAGTGATATTGAAAATGATAGTAGTTGATATGAACTCATGCACTCATCTCCCAATATTTATAGGCAAACTAGAAGATTAACAAAGTAAAAGATTAGGGTAGCTTTCTGTTCTGCAATTAATAATGTTGTAGTTTGTTCCTTACCTAAAGTGTAGGTCACCTCAATAATTAATTATTAATCATCGCTACGTGAGAGCCTTCAATCCTAGTGGTATTAGTGGGAGTTTTCCACGCAATAAATAATTCTTATCGATCTCTTCATTCCCTCACGTAAGAAATATTTAAGAAGATAAATAAATGAAAGGAGTGGAAGCAAACATTTAGAGCAAGTTTGGAAAGCCACCTTGAAAATGGATTCGTGTGTAATTGGGTGTAATTACACAGTTTGGCATATTTGTTTGGCCAAGTAATAGAATTGGGTATAATTGGAGAGGTGTAGTTACACTCTCTAATTCTCAAGGAGGAGGTGAGAATGTGGTAATTACACTGTATGATTACAAGGTTGCCTTTTAGTTTCTTTCCTTTTTGTTTTTATTTTAATTTATTTTCTTTATAACTTTTTATTTCTATTATTTTATTTTGTTTTATTTTTACTTTTTAATTTCTTTGGAATTTTAAAATATATATTTTTTGTACATTATTTATCTTTTATTTCTCTATCTTTACTTCTTGTGATTTCATGTAATTGCTTATATTTTATTTTTTATTTATTATATTATTATATTTTTTAAAACTACACCTACTAATATTAGAAATAATGATTCATTAACAAACTTGGCATATAATGGGTGATGCAATTAAAGTAGAATTTCATTGTTGAATATGGTTATAAACTAATTATGTTTCATAATCTTAAGTTGTAGTGGAATTTATTATTATTATGTTGGAATTTGACATATGTTAAACTTTTTTTTTTTTTGGAATTTTGAAATTGTGTTATATTCATGGTTCCAATTTACTCGTTTTATTAGTATTGGCTCATATTGCATACTGTTTATTTTTTAGTTAAAATTGGTAGATTAGTTTTGTCAAACATTTGAATAATGTTATGACACTATATTTATAAATATTAATTTATTTTATCAAACATGAATTCCCTAGTTTTCTTACAAAACATATATTTTTAGTTTTCGTAAGTATCTAAACTAAATATTATTTATTTGAAAAATATAAATAAATTATTTTTACAATATTAGTTATAAATATATGATTACTAATTAATGTATAGTCACGAAAAAATATTCATCTTAAATACCAAATATAATATTATTTATACTTATAAAAATTTATAGGCATATATTTAGTATATTAACTTTTAAGTTTTGATAATTACTTCATTTAAAATTTAATCTAATCGTGTAATTATACGTGTGCAACCAAACAGTAAACTTATAATTATACTATGACAAACAAACAGGTCGTTGTAATTTTACAACTGTGTAATTACTAGGGTGTGTAATTACTACCCTAGTAATTACACCAATTACCAGGTAATTGAAATTGGTGTAATTACTAAGGTAGTAATTACATAACCTAGTAATTACATAATATAGTAATTACGATGACATGTTTGTTTGTCATAACGTAATTACAGTATAATTACAAGCGTCTTGTTTGGGTGCACGAGTGTAATTGCACAGTTAGATTAAATTTTAAATGAAGTAACTATCAAAATTTAAAAGTTAATACAGTAAACATATGCCTATAAATAATTTTTTATAAGTATAAATAATATAAGATTTGGTATTTAAGATGTATATTTTTTATTTAATATGCGTTAATTAGTAATCATATATTTATAACTAATATTGAAAAATAATTGATATATTTTGCAAATTAATAATATTTTGTTTAATTAATTATAAAAACTAAAAACGTACGTTTTGTAATAACACCATGGAATGCATGTTTGATAAAATAAATTAATATTTATAAATATGTCATAACATTATTCAAATATTTGACAAAACTAATCTATCAATTCTAACCAACAAATGAACAACATGCAATGTGAAATAACAAGTCAATACTACTAAAAGAAGTAAATTGAAACCATAAATATAACACAATTTTAAAACCCCAAACAAAAAGTTTAACATATGTCAAATTCCAATATAATAAAAATAAGTTCCAATACAACTTAAGATTAGAAAACATAATAAGTTTATAGCCTCATTCAACAACGAAATTCTACGTATGACATCACCGATTATATGTCAATTTGTTGATGACTCATTATTTTTAATATAGGAGGCATAGTTTCAAAAAACTAGAATAATAACGCAATTACACTAAATGAAAAAAAAATAAAAAAATAGAAAATAAAATATACGAACAGTTACACGGATTCACAAGAAGTAAAGGTAGAGAAATAAAAGATAAATAATGTACAAAGAAAAATATATTTTAAAATTAAAAAGTAAAAATAAAATAATTAAAATAAAAAGAAATTAAAATAATGGAAATAAAAAGTTGTAAAGAAAATAAATAAAAAGGAAAGAAATTAAAAAGAAACCTTTTAATTACAAAGTATAGTTACCACCAATTCTCACCTTTCCTTGAGAATTGGAGATAGTCACCTCTTTAATTACACCCAATTCCGTGATGACCAAGTAATTACTTGGCCTGACAAACATATCAAACTGTGTAATTACACTCAATTACACTCAAATTCAATTCCAGGTGGCTTTCCAAACATGCTCTTAAAATTACTAGCAGCATGTTTCGCTAAGATTTTTTCTGCCCAAAAGTTTTTTTTGGTCAAAAATACTTTTTTTGAAAGTTAAGGTGTTTGGCCAAACTCTCCCGTCTCTAGGAAGATTGTGTCCGGGATCTAGTAATCAAAGCCTTGCTTCTTCTGGTCGGCTTGTATTAGCATGTGCTTTATTACATGATGTTAACCCGGACACCTAACCCAGCAGGTAAGAAGCAGGTTGGCCGTAGGTTCGAATCCAATGATCCTGCAAGAACCTAGACTCGCTCTGAGTCCCTCCGTGTGACGCCCCCTCTCGGTCTCAATCAAGTAAGAAAGGGACCCTTTTTAGCTAGAAGGGAAAAAGCACTTTGAGTAGGAATAGAAGCAGTTTTTGAAAAGTAGAGAAAAATAGCTTCTTCCTAAAAGTTTTTTTTTTTTTTTAAAAGTAATTTTAAGAAATACACTTAGAAACACTTTTAAAAGCTTGGTCAATCACTAATTGCTGCTCAAAAGTGATTTTTAAATTAATTAATCAAACACAAATTGCTTCTCACAAAAAATACTTTTTAAAAAACGTTTTTTTAAAAAACACTTTTCACAATAAGCTAATTTTAGAAATTTGGTCAAACATGCTATACAAAAAAAGCATTTGCGATCATCCTCAAAAGATCTTTTTTTTTTTTTTTTTTTC